GCCCCGGCCCCGCCCCCGGCCCCGCCCCTGCCTTCGCCCCGCCTGCTGGGTTGGCCGTCGAATTTCGCAAGCAAGGCCGCCCGCAGCCGTCACTCACTGCTCGCATGGTGGGCTGTCCTCCTTGCTGCTGCTGTACGCGCGGTAGCACGACGGCCGCTCGCACGTGGGGCATTGGTAGATCTTCGCATTAGCATACCTGCAAGACAGGTGGAGGCAGGTGACTGCATTCAGGGGGCGACGCATGGGGTGCTGCGTCATAAGCGCGCGTCCGCCGCCGCCTTGCAGCGTATCCAGCGCTCTGAGAACACCTTCTTCGAGCTGGGCGCCACGACCTGGCTCGGAATGGCCCCGACCCCAGCGCTGCCTCCCCGCATGCGGTGGCTTGAGCGCTCCCGCTCAATCTGCCGCGCCGGGCACCCGCGCCTGGGTGCACCCGCCACCGCGGGCCCGCGCCTCGCCGCGCCGCACCCTGCGCCTGGGATCACCCCTCCTGCCCGCCCTGCGCCCGCCACGCGGCTCGCGCCTTGCGCGCGGCTGCCACGAGCCGCTGGGGCCGCGCCCCAGGCCCCCAGGCCGCCTGAATGCGGCTGCTCACCCGAGCTTGATTGTGATGTTGCGCTCGAGCTCGTTTTTGAAGCGGACCGTCTGCACGCCCGTGATCGCTTTGACCACCGTTGACTTCCCGTGGGCCACGTGCCCGATTGTGCCTGCGCGCATGTGTGGCGGGCCAGGGTCAGGCCTGTGCCTACTTCGTGCGCTGGCTCCCAGCTGCACGTTCTGCGTGAAATCTGCGTCGCGAGTCTGTGACAAACTGAACCGGTCGCAGCAACGCGGCGCGTGGCCGTCGCCACTGGTACCATCGCTAGTGTGCTGTTGTGGTCAAGTGCGAGCGTGGCCTGTGATCATAGCCGTCCTGGCGAGCTCCGTGGCACTGTCGATGTGCCGCCGCTGTCCGCAGGTAGCAGGGGCGGCAAACGCCAACAGCACGCGAGGCCTTCCGGCGATCGCCAGCCAATCAGAGCGTTAGTGATGCAATCGAACGGGAGTATAAGCACCCAACGCACCGATGTTGATCGTTGCCTGGCGAGAAATGACCTCTGGCGACAGCGGCGTGAGCGCGGCCGGGTCTAGTGTTTTCAGATCCTGCGTGCACGGCGAACATGCGTGCAATATAAGCAACTCTGCACCTGCACCAGGAGCTCCTCGCCAGCACCGGCCAATGGGAGCACTGCATCAGCAGCACCACCGCCACTGGGCACTGCACCTGCTCCCTGAGCCCTTTGGCCTTCGCCATGTTTGCTCCTCTAGCCTGTACTCCTCACGACCAATCAGGTGTGCTTCACAGCGAGCTGGACCCAGGACAGGCGGCTCTCTGATCTGACTCGCTCTCGCAACACGGGCTGAGAGGTCTCGGCGCTGTTCGTTGTATGCTGACGAATAAGCCAGAGGCCTCGCTGAGGGCTGCACGCGCAGCGAGACCGAGAGGAGGCCGGCAGGCACAGCATGAGCACTTGCACACACAGCACACCCAGCGCACGCAAGATGGGCCGACGTGATAGAGCAGACAATCGCGCACAGCTTAGCAAAACGTCAAAAGTGCTGAAATTTATGATACTAGTACATGCATGGAGCCGGTGCAGGCCTGTCGCAGCTGCCTTGCAGGGCCCAGCAGTCCTGGTCACTGCAGTGAAAACAGTCCCCTGACGCCCGGCTGTGCCTTTGAACCATGTGAGCAGTATTTCTCTTGCATGTTGATCATGTTACCTCGCTCCACATGGCACGGGCATGCACAGTGAATGTGTCGCATCGGCACCTCATCCCCACCAATTCAAGCCTAAACTGACCGATTGTCAAAAAAGTTTTGAGCAGCACTGCTACAGATGCCTCCTGACTTGCTGGCTACTGCGGCCCCCCAGCACCGCAGCCACTGCTAGATTCACCAGCCCCCTCGTCGCCTGCCGCAGGCCGCCCCAACTGCTCCGCTCGCTGCATCTCCTGATGCGCATGCTGCGTGTGTTGCTGCACGAGCTGCTCGTGCTGCTGTTGCTGATGCGCCGCGGTGCCGATGTCCCCATGCGTAGCTGCCTCCACCAGTGCCCGTATCCAAGCCAGGCTCACGCTGTTGCGCCCGCCGCCGTCGTCTGCTGAGGCTGCCGAGGCCGACGCCAGCTGCTCACCGACTTCTTCGGGGTGAGTCAGCAGCTCGACCACCGCCGCCTTGGCCCTCAGCTCGTCGTCAGTGTCTTCCTCTGGGCTGTGGTGGACCAGACCGTTTGGCATGCAACGATGCATGGCGTCTGTTGATGCCAGGGGAGCAGCATTGGGGCGACGCAAGGCCCAACAGCGGCGTGCCTGGGGCACAAGCGGGCGGGGCGCCGCCGAGGCGCTCGCACAGATGTGATATATTCAAACGCGGGTATTGGGGGGATACCTGCTGGATGACATACTGTTTGGGCCTGACGGCTCGGTGCGGCCCGGCCCAGCTCGCAGCGACGCCGCGGCGTGCAGCGACACGCCCGCCGTGAAGCGCAGCGCCGGCGCCACCGCAGCATGCCTAGGAGGTCTGAGATGAGTATAGACGCAAGAGCAGCGCTGCGAGGATGGCAACCGTAGCGCAGTCTCAGACATTCCGTGCGGTTCCGTGTCGGTGCTTCGTCCAACACGAGCGGGTGAGTAATAATATAATTCGTGATTATGGGATTTGCAATGCGAATGATCCTGCTGTTCATGTCGTATGATACGTGCGATATGTGCCAGCGCAGCGACATGTCAGCCATCAGAGCACCACAACCTGGGCAGGGTGGTGCATGCGCTTGCTCATGCTGCAGCAGCTGAGTGTGTGGGAGTCGTTGCGGCGTCGGTCGTTGCCAGCGCTCTGTGTCTGGCAGGTGCAGTACCAACAAATCACTCTGTCTGCATGCCTGCATGCTGGTGTCCCGAGGGCACCTGGCCCCAAGTGGAGCTGTCCTCCAGGAACGGCCGCCTGGCCGGATGGAGCCGCAACCCCACCGCCTCAGCATCCTCTTGGCGACCTCGGCTGCAGAAGCCAGTGTCACTTGAGGGGCCCCATCCTGCAGCATGGGCGCAGACCTGCACCAGGCGCGGCACATCATGCACTGGCTGGACCACAGCTCCTGCTGGGACGGACACAGCTCCTGCAAGGCGCACCTGCAACCCACAAGCACATCGCAGAGAGTAAACAGGGCCGGACAAAGGAGGCTCAACTTTGTTTGCCAAGGGGATTGTTGACCCGAGCTTGCAGAAGCGCATGCCAAGGAGCCCGTCAGCCTTGGTGTGTGTGTGTGTGTGTGTGTGTGTGTGTGTGTGTGTGTGTGTGTGTGTGAGCGCTAAATATGTGGCGGAAGTACAGCCATACTTGGGTCACTAATGGTCTCTTGTTGCGCCATGTTCACTGGGTAAAGGGCTCCGCCTGTTGCGCCGCCTTGTGAAACCGCGGCTTGCTTATGTTCCCAGCGACACGCGCAGCATCATAGTGCGAGTGACCCGCAGGTCTGACATTCGGATGCGTAGTAGTACTGCGTATACGCAGGACATAGAGGGTACAACAGGACACAGGATGCGGTTCTGCGTTTTTCTCGACCTGTGTGCGGTACCCGATGTGATTGTTGCCTCATGCGTGTCATGTCCTGGCTGCGTGTTTTGCCCCTTGATCTCGGGCCTCGCCATGCACCATTCAACAGAAGCACGAGCACGCAGCGGCCCTGGTGGCAAGGGGGTGCAGCACTGCCAAGACGGCCCCGCAAAATCTGTGTGCATTCAGACCGACCTCTGCACTTGCAGCTGTCTTTTCCAGGCTCAGCTGCTGTTGGCAATCTGGTGGCCTTGCTGGATAGAGGAATATGCAGCCGGACCCGTGCTCAACGTGCACAACCGACGAAGCTTCGCGACATTTGACTATGTGTCACAGCTAGATGCGGGGTGCAGCTATTGCTTGGACGCTGAAGGCATTGCTTTGCTAATGCCTGCATCCGTGAAGTTCTGATCAACGTGAAATGCCCACATTGACCAGGGCTGCACGGTTGCAAACACTTGCACAGCAATGCGCACGGTTGCAATTCTGGCTGCCCCGCCCCACCTCAAGTGTCTGTCAAAAACAGGTTAGCCACGCTGCTGTGCATATGTCAGCATAGACGGTGTAAATGGTAACCTGAGGCGCCAAACGCAACTGCAGCCTGGCTTTCTGTGTCAGGCCCACATGCGCTTTTTATCATTGAGTCATGGGGCCTGTGACTGATGTCGGCGGCTCCAGGAATCTCGTCCGCTGGAGGCCTATCAGGGATCAAGGTGGCACGAATTACAACAGGCCTTTTCATGTCTATCTTTTAGGGCCGGGCAGCCTGAATCAGGGGGCGTCACCGGTGATCGCTAGTGAACCTGCCCGCACCTTACCGTAATACGGTGGATGGCGGTTCGATCGAGGTCAACAAAGAGCAATCTCTGTATTTTTTATCCTCTTTCTATGACCTCGAGTGCCCTGCGCAATAACTGGCACCCCCAGCGCAAGGCTACCACCAAGATTTGACGTGACTGCGGACTGAGGATTTCTGTCTCAACAACGGCCCCATCACTTGTTGAAACATACGTATATACGATACCTTATCACGTTTGTTTCACGACTCGACGTCAGCCCGCGTACCAGTTTGCAGCAAAACACCCACCCACGACCCACCACAGTCTCCAATCCGGAGCAGAGGATTCCTTGCACTCAAGAGACTCATTGTCAGTTCTCGCGTAATATATACAAGAACGACGACAGACGGAGGCCCGCAGCCGCGGCCCGACTGGCGGCAGCATGGCTGGAGCGGGCGAGAGCAGCATGCTGATGCCCACCGGTGACGCCGCAAAGACCCCCGTCACAAGTAGGAGCCGCGCACACCGTAGAGACAAAACAGCACAAATCCACGCTGCAGGCGTCGCGGCGATGCTGGCGCCGGGGGTCGCACACACGTCACGGCCACACGCACGCGCACTCACAGCACCCGCGCGCTCATGCCGCCGCGCCCCGCCGCCCGCAGTCCTTACCGGGTTTCTCGGCGCCGGCAAGACGACGCTGCTGAATTATATCCTCAAAAACCGCGGAAGCCGGAACATCAGCGTGATCGAAAACGAGTTTGGCGAGGTCAACATCGACAGCCGCCTGGGTGCGCTTTTGGCGGGAAAGCGGCGCTTCGGTTGTTGGTGTTGCTGGCGCTGCGGCCGCGCTCGCGGCCTCGCATGGGGCCGTCTGCACCACGCATGGCTCTGGCTGTTGGTGCTGATGAGATGGGTAGATGCAGGCGGCGATCAGGCGCGGGGCGAGCATTCGTGCTCATGCCGTCGCGTGCCCCTCACCGGCGAGTCACTCAAGGCAGCCCCCAGCACCCCGCGGCAGCGCCCCGCCCGCCGACGCCCTCAGCCCCGCCCGCCTGCGCCCGGCCGGCCCGCCGTGCGGCTCGTGGCTTGGCGGCTAGGCATGGCGCCAAAACGGCGCACTTTTTGAGGCGCGGGGGCGCCGTCGCGCCGGGCCGCGTGCGGCCTGGGACCAAAGCGCCCCCCACCAACGGGGATTCTCCTACGCAGCATCCCCCCCCCCC